TCGGAGAAATGCTACTTGTTTTACATGCTATGTTTGGCTCATTTGCTGTGCCAGTGGTCGCGGGTTCAAGTCTCGCTGGGTGCATTCATTTGTGTGATGAGCACAAATGTTTGTACTTCAGTCATGGGTTTTTATATTCATAATTATATAATGTATTTAAAGTTATATATTATGTATAGTGTATCAATAATCTGGTATCCATAATTTCGAAGCTTACTGTTTTATCTTTATAATATTTATATAAATAATACACTAAGTATATCACTAGTTTCACCATAAACATGAAATTTTATAAAAAGCTTTATATTTTTAATAAAGCATATTGTTTAGAATTATATGGTATACACTGTACAACCATCACTTGCAATAAATAGTAGGAGAGCCCAAAAGGGGATTTTGGCAGTTACTCAAGCGCGGCAGATTAACATAAGGGGGGATACCTTGCACTCTTTTGAGTACCTCCGCCGTAATATAAGTCCTCTATATACCTAAGTGCGCGCGTCTAGGGCAGCCGATCAAAATATTTAAAAAATATTTTGATAAGGTAGAAATACTTGAAACCGTCAGATTAAGGTATGGTGGGCTAATTACATCCTGAAAAGCGTGCAATTCAATAATCTGCCGATTTGCACAAGCAAGAGGCAAAAATCAATATAAACTTTATAGTCTATCCCATAAATACATTGAACTTATAATTTTTTTCTAAGTCGTCAATTTAAAAACATTTATGAATGGTAAAAATGACAAAGGTGGTTTGTTAGTACACACAAAACAAACAATGTGACTGAGTAGCGTAATGATATTTTTCCCTTTTTTTCATCTTCTCTTCGTTTTCCTTTTCCCAGCATCCGAGTACGGCATACTAAACAGTTTTGAGATGACATGGTTATTTATAACTAGCAACTCATCCTCGCTTTGCTCGGGGTCACCTCTAGGAAAACAATAATGAACCTACCCCATGGAAACCTTACATTTTTCCGGGATAAAAAGTAGCCTATGTGCTATTCCAGACTATAATCTATCTCTGTGCTTAATTTCCATTTGATCCATTTAGCTGTTCTGGCGTGAAAGAGTAACAAACATCCATACATACTCACAAACTATCACATTTATAATATGAAAATACGGATTATAATTGGATGTTCTTTTATTAGAGAAATAAGTAAAGAATTCTGTATGAAAAATTATCTTTATCTTTTGGCGTTTTCATTTTTAAATCAAATTTTATCATTTTAAATATTTTATTTTAAGAACACATTTTGTGAAAACAGCACCCAAATTGGTTAAGCAGTTTTTAAGATTAGTCCGCACAAACGCACAGACAATCAGATAGAAGTTCTAAAAATCATTGTTTCTGAGTCCATAGTTTTGTGTAGGTATATATTTATAGATATAGATAATAGTATTTTCATGAAAAAATCTTGTAACTATAATAAATTTAATATTAAAACAGTTTTTTTTAATTTCCCTTTTCCTCGGATCTTGTTATTTCTAGCGAAATAAAAATAACACGAGAGGAATAAAGAATTTTGTCTAAATCTCGCTTAGAATTTGAGATTTCGATAGTGATTATTTCATAGTTTACTTATTAATGTAATATAGCGACGGAAAGAAGAGCCAAGAACCACAAGGCAAAGTACGCAGAAGATTCGCTTGAAATAAATAAATATGTATGTTGGTACATTAACGCACAGCACCGTCTAATTCCATGGTAAGCTACGAGGCTTGTATTATGGATACCAGATAGCTGATACACTACACATATATAACTTTAAATACATACATATTATAAATATAAACTTAAACACCCATGACTGGAGTACAAATATTCGTGTGCTCATGACACAAATGCATGCCCCCAGCGGAACTCGAACCTGCGACCGTTGGCACATCTAGTAGGGTCACTACAAACTAACCACCAAACGTGTCGTTTGGTTTTGATGTGCAAAGTGAGGTTTTAATCCATATATTCTATTTATATATGTAGATTGCGCTTAAATAAAAATCTTTAAACATAGAAATCATACAAATTTTATACTTATATACATACGATATATACTTTTTATATAATACATCTTGCTAGAGTTTGCCCGGTGGTCGACCTCGATAATAAATTCGAGCTTAATCATTATTGGTATTAATAATCAAATTATATAATAATTAGCAGAACGCGCGGCTACGCTCGCGCGTAAACTGCAAAAAATCATACAAAGTTTCATCCTCTATTTAACTCCCTTACACGATGAATTTCGAAACATGCTAAAACACGTATTTATTTAATTTTATTGAAGAGTATTAATATCAAGTTTCAAGTAATTCTTGTCATAAATATTTTTTTGGATTGTAATAAAACATCTTTTCCCGTGCGAATTAGATAATCTCCCGCGGTAAAAAGAAACCTATGTCACTCTCCATCTTTCCAACTATCTCCACAAAAAATCACGCCAATCCGTCACTCCGTTTTGGCGTGAAAGAGGGATAGACAAACAAACAAATACACTTTCACATTTATAATATTAGTGTGGATTATTATAATAATTAATTTATAATAATCAAATTATTTTGGGGAAAACATGATAAGCACACATGAATAGAATTTATCTATATAAAAACGGGTTATTACCATAATATCGGTGGTGTAGTGCCTAGCATGTACGGCTGCACACCCGGAGGTCCTGGGTTCGAGTCCCGGGTCGAGCCAAGTTTAGTTATTGAGTCTTCCTGTATAGTAAGTCTCAGTAACAGCCCGGAGTTGGGAAGTTGGCGGTGTTTCACCCCCGTGCCTCGGAGAGCACGTAAAGCCGTCGGTCCTGCGCCTTAACTCTCACCGGTCGTGTCGAGTGGTCGTCCCACCGGAGTATGAGAGTGATAGGAATAGAGAGTGCACTTGTGTCTGCGCGTACAATTGAGCACTATAATATCTCCTGCGCAGTTGGCTAATCTCATTGAGATTGGCCGCCGTGGCCGGAATCGGCTAGGAGAACATCATCATATATATATATATATATATATATATATTTTAACTAAGCAAAAAGAGAAAATTGAAAAAAAGGTACTGTACTAAAACATAAAACCTACCTTTGAGATTACCTTTTACTTTCCCGATTAATGTATATTATTTTAGATTTAATGCCTAATAATATTATTGTAAAATAAAATAAAAAAATAAAAACATTATTCTATTATTTCACAATTAAAATATACTAATTAAAGGCACCAAACACATATTGTAATTTGTAAGGCTAAAAATAAAAAGATACAGTTATAATCGTAATGAATCGTATATTCACAGATTATATTATATGAAGACAATACAGTCTATGGCATAGTGCATATTGTATTTATAGAGACGTATCTTTAAAACACTAACACACTATCGTCCCGATCACACTCCATTCGGTCCAATATCGGTCTGGCAAAATATTTTTATACAAATAACATTATTGAAATTTGACTTGACCCGTATTTAATTTACTTCTCTTACTGATAGTGTGAAACTCTTTCGTTTCTTAAGCAAAAATATTTTACCAGATCGATATCAGACAAAGAACGGACTGTGATCGGCACTATAGTATGGATGGGATCTAATTTATCTACAGCGTACAGACCGTCCAAATGAACTCTAACGGATATTTAGCGTTAGTAGGCTTTTCAAGTCCAAATATCCTTCTGAGTTCGAACTTGAATTCAATAAACACTAGAGGTTCCAAGCAAACAAATAAAAAATATTGAGAAACTTCACAATGGTGATCGCAATTCCAAAAAATGCAATTTTATTTAGATATACCTTTATTTTAGTTAAATGGTATTATGTATGAGTAAGGTTTTAAAGAAACTGCTTTTCTTGTATAAGTCAATTATTAACAAGATCTATATAAATAATAACTAACATATTATCATTTCATTCTTCATCTTTAACTATTATATGGGTCTATAGTACCTACAAGAAACGCGAAATATGTATTTACAAGCAAAGTGTGATGTTTGACGTACTGTGAACATGATAGAGGTGCTTACAAGAACTACAAGAAATACGTACTTGTTAGAATTAAAATTTAAGGTAGCTATGCCACATTACCCCATTTGCCTTCGATACCCGTCCACATCGTTTGCTTGAATAGTCAAACGCCTATGATATTGCCGCGATATGGCATATTTCCAGCAAACGCTTATTGTTGTCGGGATGGAAACGCTTGCATTCAACCAACGAATGACAACGAAACCCATTTGTTAACATTCATTGGGCCAGTCTATACGCAGCTTTAGATTTCTGCTAGAATGTCTTTATATAGAATAAAGAAGAAAGAATAAGAAGCTAGATAGAAAGCACGGCACAAACTAAAAAAAACTATTAAACAAAAAACAATACTACCTGTATGATTTAAAAGTTGAATAGTAATATCTATAGTAGATGAATAAGTAGTGTTTATTATATTATACAAGTGAGATCATGGTAACTTTGAATGAACTTAAAAATAAAATTTACATTTATTTTCGTATTACTGAATTGTTTCCGCAAACCCATAAAACCTGGAAACGTAGGGCCCAGCAGTGGAATAATTTGGGCTAGCTGTAACTGTAAATCGTTTAAAATTTTAAACTAGAATAACACTTCCAGGTAAATTTCTAAGAAATAAATTAATTTCTAAGAAATCTATTGTTAACTGTAACGCCGGTGTGTCCGAGATCGTGGAGGGAATAATATTTTATTAATAAAAATCCTTTAGGTGATTAATGATTTTAGCATTGTATTGACTAAATATTTTATGTATTTAACATTTGTATGGATGTTAGATATTTTTAATCTTTATTAAAAGTTTAAGAGTATATTTTTCCTTATAGCTTAAGGTTAGACCACTTTTGTGCTGACCTCATAATAATATAATCGAGTTTATGACGCTATCAGCTGTGGTCAAACTAGTTACCCACTACCAGTGCACTGTATACAAGCAAAGGTCACAGACGTAGTGTTTCATGTGTTATTAATATTTATATTTAATATGTTGATTAAGTAAGTTGTTTTTCTTCTAAAAATCTGGTAGTTTATTCGCGTCTCTATATTTTTTTATAAATTAGGAATCAATTAAATACCTTAGAAGGTGTTTAAAGCGCGTAATGTTATTTTGCAAAGTGTTTTTTAATATTATGATTCATATTTCATACTAAGTATATCAGAGCAACGTTACGAAGTGGTATGTGTGCTGTTCATATGACTAGGACCATGGGTTCGGTTTTTGTTTCGGTTTTTTTTTATTGAATGACTTTATTTATGTTATAAACTTTAAGAAAAAAAAAAAAGCTCAGTTCGTATTAATACCTCCACGACCGCGGACACGCCGGAGTGTCAATTAACAATAGATTTCTTAGAATTTTAATTAATTTCTTAGAAAACCTGGAGGTGTTAAGGCATCTTAGATACATGATTTGATAATAGATTAAATTATGCCTTACACAAGCGTCTTGATTGTGTAAGGCATATTGTATAATAAATAATTAAAAAAAGAACAGTAATTGGTGTTATGTGGGATATTTTTTTATGAGATATTTAAATTATTTATTTAATTTTCCTTAAAGGATACAAATGTAGCAGTTCTGAGTGTACTTAGTAAACATTAGGATTTTGAATATTTTGCTTAAATTCGCGAGTTCGAGTCCCGCTGGGGGTGTTCATTTGCATGATGATCACGAATGTTTGTACTCCAGTCATAGGTGTTTACATTAATAATATGTATGTATTTAAAAGTTATATATATGTAATGTATCAACTTTAGTGGACATCACACAAATGAATACTCCCAGCGGGACTCGAACCCGCGACCGCCGCGCTGACACAGCAAGTACTATAAACTGAGCCAAACGTGTGCTTTATATTTTCAGTTCAAATTTTACGCATTCGGGTTTTCTGTGTTTGTAATTTGTTGCGAATTTTTTTCAATATTGCCATTTAAAAGACTTATAAATCTAATCAGTTTTTGATCGATTTTGGAGTTAATTTTTTTGAATTTTCTAAAAAAATTGTTTTAAGATAATTACAGAAAGAAATAAAATTCATTCATTTGTATTCTATCATTCATTAGTAATCTTATTTATTCATTTGTAAAAATATAATTTAAGAAAATTAAGTTGATATTTACAAAATTTAGTCATAGTTTTGTTAAAAAATCATAAAAAAAATGTTAAAAATAAAAAAATTATAATTTTTTACTATACTCTTTACGTCGATATTTTTCCTGAGATATTCGACTTTCAATGAAAAAGAATCCTTTTCTTTTTTATCATCAATACTTTAGCATTTAATAGATGCACAGTAGATTAAAGGTAATTTTAAAAATTCAAGTCATATTTCTACAAGGATCTATCATAGTTTTTTTAATATTTTTTTTTCTTTTTTTAAGAAGTACAAGAAGAACAAGAAGTAAAAGAATGAGCCCTATCTGAAAATTGAACCAAATTTTTTTTAAATGTAAACGTCCACTTGAAGTTGGGGGTGATTTTCACCCTCTTTAGATCATAAAACATACTTTTCTCGAAATGGCTAACCATTTCAATTTCAATTTTTTTTTGTTTATTATGTGTATTTTGAAGATTACATTCCCTTAGTTTCATGAAAATCAAAAGCTTCTTTTAGAAATAAAAAATTACAAACCAAGAAAAGGTTAAAAGACGAGTTTTCTGCAAATATCCCGAAAACTTTGAGGTTATTGTAAAACGTGTTATTTATAAAAGTTGTCTTTTTACTAGACCTAAAATTTCTGTAGAAAACATTTTTCGATAGAACGTCACAATAAACAGGAAATTGAAAAAATAACTATTTTTTCCCCCATTTCTCGGGGGCAGCTGGGCAGAGGAGGCATTTTACGAATTTCTATTCCTTATATAGGGTCAATTTTAATTTACTGAAAACCTTTTGGAAATATACTGTTTACATCATAACAACAGCATTTGTAACAAGAAAAAATAATATTTCAAATTTTTTTATTTTCATACAAAAATAAAAATATTTTTATTGCACCTTCTAAACGGTAAAGTTCTAGCATCTGACCAAGTTTAAATGAGTAAGTGCTGCTACCTACACCCCTCCACCCCTCTCCCTCCACTGGTCACACGCTGTATTTTGCTAATGCTGGACTATTACCGTTTAGAAGGTGCAATAAAAATATTTTTATTTTTGTAAAATTTAAGAAGTATTTTTTTTCTTACAGATGTGGTTGTTATGATGTAAATAGTATATTCTCAAAAGGTTTTCAGTAAATTAAAAATGACCCTGTATATATTAACAATATTTTTTCCCATACCGGATTCCTATTGGACTATATATCAATTGCCTTGTGTGATTCATTGTATTAATAGTAATAAGTAATTCAAAATATTTTGCAGACTTGGAGTGATTCTTCTGTTAGTTTATAACTCGTCTTGTGCTAATTTAACAGCTGACGATGAGACTTGGTCTTGGACACAAAAAGTTTATAATAGTTCTAAGAGTACTACTACAGGTATTTAAATAATATTATAAATTACTATTTAAACAAAAAAAAATGTATTACAATGTACTTTCTTAACGTTGGGGAATATATTTACACATCACTGACTTTATAAGCAATTTACAAGCATTATTCCACTATTATACATCTAATACTTGTGTTAGTATTGACTGTCATTCAAGATCAGTCATTATACGGGATCCTAAAAGATAGTAACGAAATCCCGGGCTAAAAAATCTATCCCGATCCCGATATTTTCGGAATATACACAAAAATTATTTTCTATACTTATTATAAAGAAAAAAGATTTTTTTGTCTGTTTGTACCGAATAAGTTCCGAAACTACTGGGCTAATTTAGACGAAATTTGGTAATAAGTTAGTTTGAGACCCTGGGAAGGACATATAATAATTTTTATCCCGGAAATCATTCCTTAAAGGGGTGAAAATGGGGATAAAAGGTTGTATGGGGAATCAACATAAGGACGCGAGCGAAGCGAGGGTGAGACGCTAGTAAATAATAACGTTTCTACATACGGTAACGCAACTGCAGTCTACAACCATTACTACTAGTACACTTATTGTCTGTACGAAGGAATTTTTTGGCAGTATACGTATACGCCTTTGCAAATTAACAGATGTTTTTTTAAACTAATTCTAAAGTGTATGGAACGATATTTTAATGAGTGGACCAATCGAGTGAAATAAAGACTTCGAAAGTAATTGTGAAGTCGATGTGTTATCGAGCTTAACCAAAATTTAACTGCATCGGTTGCCTAATGGCCACGGCGGCATGTACAGTTGCAGTCCGGATCTAGTTCTGGGTTGAGTCCCAGATCAGGCCAAGTTTAGATATTGAGTTTTCTGTCAAGATATTCTTAGTAATATCTCGTTGGGAAGCGGACGATATTTACACTCTCGTGTCTAATACGTCGTGTCAATATAACGCCTTGTCGGAGTATGAGAGTGACAGAAATAGAGAGTGCACTTGTTTCTGCACTATAATACCTTCTGCACAGTTAGCTAATGTCAATGAGTTTGCCGCCGCGCCGTGGCACAAATCCGTTAAGAGAATGAATGATAAGAATGATTTTATTGATGACTATTTGTAATTGTTTTGTTGATTATAATTAAATTTATCAATATTTCAACAGTTGCTCCTCGTGAAGATGAAGAAATCGATTTAAGTCCCACAGATAACGGTATGTATTTTTTTTATTCGCATACTTCAAAATATGCACAAAAAATATACGCTTGCAAGTATTATTGATTGACAGTTTTGATGTATGTAAATAACGATTTTGAATAACTAGTCTAAATTCTATTTCCAACATTTTTTTATGTATCAGATATTAAAAAAAGAAAATGGTTAATGAACAGAGGAGAAAAAGGTTCTGAAACGTTTGGTCTTTGCCTATTTATATTAAAGATAAAGTTTTATCTTATCAGATCCAACGGAAGCCTGTCTTCTGCCCAATGGAGCCCAAGGAGTATGCGCGCCTTATTATCTATGCGATTCTGATACTAAACAGATAATACAAGATGGTACTTCATTAATTGATTTCAGGTAAGGATAAATAAAAATCGGACAAGTACGAGTACGAGAGAGATGACTAACGCCGAGGGTCCCGTGGCTTTGACATATTGAATTTAAATAAAACTATCTTTTCGGATTTGTTTCCGGATTTATTTTGATTTTTAGTTTCGGACCTTTCGAATGCTTTATAGCAATCATAGTAACGGTAGAGGCTGATTGCTGTAAACATTCGAAATCTTAGTATAATTGACTTAAACTCGCTTAGAAACTGCTATTGCAATTTTAAAGAGCTATACCATAATATCTGTTCTTTTTTGTTTTTCGTAATCTGATTGCATAATTGTTTAACGGTTCTCTTACACTAATACTTACTTACCAAATTTGAATCAAGTTCCAATAATCTCAGAGTAAAATAGCTGTGGCATACGGACTGATGGAATTTATGGCGTAAAAACCTTCTTCGTGTAAAAGCAATGTCAAAAACTTTTGGAGACTAAACTTGACTAGTGTATAAACATATATAAATGGGTGTTTTCATGTTATTTCTAGAGGGGGACAATGTCTTTCGTATCTTGATGCCTGCTGTAAGTTAGGAGATAACAGACCTTCACAGGATACAACGACTCCTGCAAAACCAATAGATAAGTTTACCCAAGACGGCGAAATGTGGACCATACCAGTATCAAATTACAGCGATGTGGAACTAACCTCCTGTAAGTTTTTCAGTAGTTGTATCTCATGACTTTTCGAAATTATATTTAAAATCTATTCATGGGGAAGATATATGATGATGAAAAATTGATCAAATGTTGATAAGGCGAACGTCTACTAACCTAATAGCCCAGTTTTTTAGTCTATCCAGATTCCCACATGATTGGGAAATGGGCAGGGAGATGATGATGAGCTCTATTTTGTTATTTATATTTTCCATAATCCCTACGTATTATCCGGTGACCATGTTTAGGCAATTTATGGGTAATTCGTAAATGTGGTCCCGACTTCTGGCTGATGCATCACAGTAATCAAATTTGTGTCCCTTAAGTGGCCTCTATTTATTGGATCTGTGACTCTACGCAAGGAATAATCTTTGAACCAGTAAAATAAAAGACATACAAATAATAATAATAAAATCTTATAGCTTCAGGTGGATGTGGTTGGGAAAATTCTGACATATTTATATTTAAGAAAGAAACAGAAGATCGGCAAATTTACGCCAACTACGGACAATTTCGGTGGATGGTCGCTATCATCAAGTAAGATCACATTTTTATACTTATATATAAAATATATACTTCTTTCTTTATACCTTTTTTTATATATCGGAAATTATCGAACAAGTGTCTTGATAGCCAATGCAAAACAAAGCGAATCTATTTCCATACCTATGAATACATCACAAATTGATGTATAATATTTTACCTATTATTAGAGGTCATACCTTGTTATCTTTACCTATTAGATATTCATAATATCTTAAAGCTTTGTCGGTGGAAGCAGGAAGATAGATTACGATCTAGACTAACATACACACATTGGATACCTCTAGGCAACTACGGATGTAAGTGAGGGTAAGTCGTTAATTTAATATATTTCGTAATATTTATTTAGGAAGAAGAGGAAAGTGGAAGCTTGGAGTCAACAGGACTATATTGGGGGTGGTTCAATAATTCATCCATCTGTAGTAATAACAGCTGCTCACACAGTGTACAAGAGAAGACCTCGTGAGGTATTTATAATAGGGTATATGCATGTAAGGGTTCCATAGCCAAATGGCTACAACGGAACCCTTATAATTTTCCCACATTTGTCTGTCCGTCTATTTTTTACATCGTAAAAAGCTTGAAAATGTTTTAATTTAACAAAAATATCTTATCTTATATCTTTAAACGAGCAATTCTTATATATATATATCAAAATATGTTTCTATATTTCTATATGGATATAATAATATGATATGTCACCAAAATGTGAGAAAATTAAGTCGATTTTCATGAAATATAGTATACAGGGCGTTTGGGGGGCGATAAATCGATCTAGATTAGTCTTGTCTGGGACAACGCGGATTTTTGAGTTTTCATGCGGTTTTCTTTCGCATTATTCCACGCAAATTATGGTCAATAATTTCGCACGCTCAGATATAAACATCGTGTTCAAGTAGCTAAGTCGCAAGATTGACAATCTTAGGTATCCGGGTTCAAAACCCGGTCGGTCATTTTTACTTTTTTTTGTTTTTATTCTAGATTTATTTTATTTTAAATTGTACCTTTTGCCGAAATTCACTTGCCGAAAACTCCGAGCGAAGCTCGGTCGCCCAGGTACTATATATAAAATAGCGAATAAAGTTGAGCGGTTCAAACACCGCGATCGTCACATGCCATACCATGCCATAGTGTTTGATGATCGCTAAGTTGTTATTATATTGTAAATAATATTGTAAAAATAGTAGAATTGTGCTTATTAAGTAAAAAAATACAGTAACAATTATATTTTCCACACAGAGAGGAAACTATTTAATTTAGTTCGATATTGATTTTTGAGTGTTATATATTTTGTATTTTAGCTCAAATGTCGTGGAGGAGAGTGGGACACTCAGACAACAAAAGAACCTTATAAATTCCAAGAGCAGGATGTCACAAAAATAATTGTGTACCCAGAATTCTTCAATGGTATGTATATATTTCGTTTGTTTAAGCAAAAGAATAATTGAAATAATGTTCCTTGCCGCGCGTAACATGCTCGGAGCGGATAGGAGCGAGAACGAAAAAAGTGTAATAAGACTTTTTTCGACACTTCTTGTTATAGTTACAGTCGTGTATGAACTATATATGTACATTGCCGCACACAGCTCTCCGGCTTTTTTTAACTTTTATTTATATTTTTATAGTAAATAATTAATGTTTATTTCTAAAATAAAAAAAGTATTATTAAACTTTTATTTGTTATTAACTTAATTATCGCAGATAATTCATCGTTCAATTTATCATTATTTATTTTATACATAATAAATATATTTTATCATAATTTTTTCAATTGAATTCTATAAACTTGATATTTTATAATGTAAATTTTAATGACTGTATAGCAAACGTCTACCAAAAAGCGAAAGGAAGTTCGTTCCAACCGTGCGTGTATACACCCCTCATTTTTTATTTTTAATATTTACTAGCGGCTCATTATCGCTTCGCTCGGGTTCATCTCTAGAAAAACATAAACAAATCTATCCCACGAGAACGGCACGGGATAAAAAGCCTATGTGCTATTCCAAACTATAATCTATCTCTGTGCTCCAAACATCCATCTAAACTTTCACATTAATAATATTAGTAAGTTATTTATATATCGGGTTATCCATATTCTCAACATCATCTTCAGTGGTTACGAATATTGTAGGTGTTATCAAGGCTCAAATAATAAAATATTCAAGGCTCAATACAACTTAATGAAAAAATCATAATGATATAAACTTGAAACGATAATTTCAATAGTTTAATTGAGCGGATTTAATTGATACGGATTTTCGACACTGATCTGACTTAAGCACATAACTCTCCAATGATCCACCATGATCAACCAACATTATCATGCCACATATCTTCAACGAATATCATGATGGCGCCTCGACCCCACTCAAGACGTCACGTCGCGTCGCCTCGGCTGTTAATTTGAATTTGATTTGACGAAACATAACATGACTAACAATAATAAGATTTTACATTCTAACAGAAACAACGTAACAAATTAAATTATAATTCATTTCTACTAAATCCTCCTTCGACATATATATAAAAATCGATTTGTGTATGTATGTAGGCAATATTCCCTATAGACTCCAAAACAGCGGGTGACTCTATGAAGTTTAGTAACGATCGGAAGTATACATAATATATTTTTTTGGTAGAAAAGAAAAGATACATTCATATTACAAATCAAAGAAACATCTATTGATATCACAGGTTTAAATAATTTTCAATACAATCCAATTCTTTATTTATTGGCTTAATGTGTGTCAGTTGAGCATAATTAATTATATAAATAACTAGCGTAGAGCGAATTACCATCGCTTCGCTCTGGTACGCGGATTTCGTTTACAGTTTCATGGGCTTTAATTTTTATTGCGCGGGATACTAATTGTAATTATTTTAATATAAAAGAAGCCTTAATTACTTAGGCTATCATCTATATGCCAGTGAAAGTTCCGTCAAAATTTGTCCAGTCGTTTCTGAGATTAGCTGGAACAAACAGACAGATAGACGAAAATTTTAAGAATAGACAAACATCTATACATACAAATAGACAAACAGAAAAAAAAAACTGTTGTTTTGGGGTCTATTTTTTGTACACAATACGTTACAGACATTGTTTTAAAAATTTAAATTTCGCGTTACTGTTTTATTACATGTATAGATTTTTTCAGTATCACTATACTACGATGTCGCTCTCGTGATTTTAAATGCTCCTTTTGATCTGCAAGCCCCTCACATGGGGATAGCGTGCTTGAACAGCGTTTTGCCTTCTCCAAATACACAGTGTTATTCAATGGGATGGGGGAAAAATTTCAATAAAACGGAAGAATATGCTGTCATTTTGAAAAAGGTAATTAAGTAACTTAGCCGTCTCAGTGCTTATTTGTCTGAACGACTCTCAAAAGAGTTTATAAATACAGAATTATTGACTTTTAAATGTCAATTCTATTGGTATTAAACACACATTTTACTTTTAAAAAGCCTTAAAAAAATATTTTTTCGATATATGTATGTGAATCTTAAAAATACCTATAGCTTTGTTTTTAAGATAGAGGAGAAATTCTGAACTGTAAAATACAATAAGTGTTGGTGGTTTGAACAAATAAGTTGTTGTGTTGAAAACTAAGGCGTCGAGTTGTAGAGAATTTTGTTATTGATGTAAAAAACTCTAGTTGGTCTACTGGGTAGCATGTACAGCTGCAGAAAGTGAGATTTTTTATGTATATCCATTTCGCGTATATCTAAGAAAGTATTATACAAAATATTTAAAATAAGTATAAACGACATACATATTCCCTATTGAATAATATTATCTATTGAGTGAAATTATTTTATTTTATTATTATTTTTTTCATTTCCAGATAAGGCTTTCTTTAGTGGCCCCTCAAGATTGTCAGAATAGCTTACAAAAATCTAGACTGGGTCCTTTCTTCAGGCTTCATTCATCTCTGACCTGTGCTGGAGGAGAAGAAGGAGTGGACACTTGCGACAAAGACGGGGGCTCTTCACTAGTCTGTCCTATTGGGGTAAGACATAAGTCTTTTCTAAATCCTAACGTATCTGTGTTTTTTATAATTATAACAAATTTAACAGCGAAATCTTTTAGGAAATTTTATTACTAATACTAGCATTGCCCGCGGCTCCGCCCGCGTACGGATGTCCAAAAACCAAATTCTTTGGTTTTACATATTAGTATACTCTTACATTACAGTTTTTGTGTTTTTTTCTCAGAAATGAGATATTTTCTCGCTGTAAAAAGTATCCTATATGTTGACCAAATCATACCAAATTTCATCAAAATCCCTCCAGTGGTTTTTCTGTGATGCGGTAACAGACAGACAGACAAAAATTCTAAAAACTATAGATTCGGCCTCTGTATCGATAATAATGTTTATTTCAATAGGATTTTCCAAAAAATATTTAATGTACAGATTCGGCTTAGTTACAATTTTATTATATGTATAGATTAGCCTATATTTTACTCCAGGCAAGGCTCGGCCGGTTAAAAAAACGGTTTATTTCGGTAATGTGTTAATTGATCGCTCAGTCGTTAATAATAATAATGATTATCGGTTATTCTTAGAGAAAGGTTAGATTTTGGTTTTGATACTGAAATAAACCGGTTAATTTCGATAATGGAACCTAAATTTGTCAAAAACCGTTCACCAGATTTTAAACGGTTAAAGACGTGACCGAAACCGAAAAACCAATGGGAACAATGACCAAAACTGGTTTAAAAATAAAACGGGTTTCCGAGCCCTGACAGCCCTGGCCAGGTCATAGTGTATCTCGTACTAAATACCATCCACATCAAATTTATGACAAGTCAAATTTTTATTTTTAGCAACTCTTTTTGGCTCCTTTTTCGTTAAGGGCAAAGGCGACGTACTATATGGATTGTTTTAATATGGTGCTATTATATTATATTTACCCACCCTTCACTCAGCGTCCTTAGAATCCTAACAGTAGCTATGTTTTACTCCAGGTCGTAGTCTATCTGTGTACCAAAATTTCATTCAAACCTGTCCAGCCGTCATCACGAAAGAGTAACAAAAATTATTTATTTATTTATAAGCCTCTATGTTTCCATGATCAAGAATACATTTAAATTATATTATTATATCACTATGATTGGCGATTTTAATAATTAGATTCAATTAGTATTATTAATTTTGAAATTAATTTTGAGAAGTTATGGCCCCTTTCGGATATAGGCCTTCTCCAAGTGCCTCCACTTTTTCCTATCTCTCGCCAATTCCAGTCAGTCTGTGCCTATTATTTTAATGGTCAGTATCAGTACTAAGATCAGTAACAAACATACAAAATTTCGCATTTATATGATTTTCTTCTCTTTTCTAGAATGATGAAAATAATGTGAGATATGCAGTAGTGGGCATTGTTTCCTACGGTATAGGTTGTGGAGTAAAAAACCGTCCCGGCGTATACGTCAATATACCGCAGATATACGCGTGGGTCAACGAAGTCATGGCGCAAGAGAAGTACGGTACTGCTACTTATACTATATGAATAAAACTATACAGTTAGACATAACAAAGTTGTTTCCTTTATTAATTTTTCAAATTCTACATCTAATTTTATTTTATGGCCAAGCCATTCTATTAAAGAAATAAATATATCTAATATTGATACGGTCACTATAAAATTTTGTCAAATAAATTTATGACAAAGTTGTCGTATAGATGCTTCCATAGATAGGTACTGAATAAATTAACCGACTTGATTATACATTATATCTCATAACTTATTTCAGTAGAAGAAATGCGTTGCGAGACTTACAATTTTTTACATATTATATTTTTGATGGGATCTCATTTCTTCTTGTAAATAGTTCTTATTTTTTTTTCTTTCTTGTAATATTTCTTGGGCGTCAGCTACGGACTTTTCTAAAGCCCACACCCTGTCTCTGTGAGCTTTTTTCAGAGGCTTTAATGTAACAAATTTATACAAGTCTGGACGGTAAAAAAATGTAATTTTATTGTATTCGGAAATTGCCGATTTCTGGGTTTTGATACTACTATCTTATGCATTAGATGTAAATAGGTATAATTAATTTAAAGAATATTTTAATTTCTTTGTTGACCCTAAATACCTACCCCGATACTGATATAGAACTTACGTAAATTTAATAAAACGTAGATTTTTGTGTCTATTTGCGGCCTCGTAGGTAAATCCCAAAGGTTATTATACTTAATTATTATTGATTGTTTAGTCAATTTTAATGCAGTTTCATTGACAACTGACGATGTCAACTGACTTCATACACTTATTCTATTAGACATTTTTAACCGACTTCCAAAAATAAGAGACGCCTGAACCGATTTGGATTTTTGTTTCGCAGTGTATACTTCCCAGGTGGTCCCATTTTAATTTTATTGAAATCGGTCAAGCGGTTTTTAATTTTAATTTATTTTAATAATTTAATAATTGAATTGCTTAATCGAATATGTTATTAAAAAACTTTCGTGTTACAAATTATCTGCTGATTACGTCTACACTAAATATGAAAAAAAAAACTCGAAAAAAACCGACAATATTTTAAGATATGAATATCTAATAGGTAAATATGATTAGGTACGAACTCTAATTATAGTTAAAATATACATTAATTAGAGATGTGTTTATACATATCGAAATATATTAGATTCGCTTCGGATCAGCTGGCACGGACTTTGAAAATATCTGATTAGATATCTATTTTAAATGAAAACCCTCGTTTAGTTATTTTTTACATTTTAGTGCCTGGAAGTAGGTTTTTTTTAAGTTTTTATAAAAGTAATCTTCAAAGAGATAAATATTTTATGACCTCTATATTCCATGTTCCATTAGGTGGCTACACTTCCCCCCAAACGTGCGTTCACCTTGTCGTGGTGGGGGGGGGGGGCTCAGTAGTGCCCGGCAATACAGCCGGGCGCGAAGCCAAGAAACGCACAGGGAGGTGGCTCACTTCGGTGGGCGGTGGGAGGTGGCCCTCTTCGGAGGGCGGTGTACCATGCGGGTTGCTCCTGGTACTTCTCTGATAGCAGAGTGGACCTTGGAGTAACCCCGTGGTTGTTGTGGTCTGCTTCAGCAGACCTGCCGTCGGGGCGTCGTAGTTGAATGTGTAAGCGATCCTGCGACGCCCCATTAACACGGGGGAAGGCTTTGTTGGGTTTTAGTGGGTAGTACTGGCTTTGCCGGTGAGTCCCACACCTCGTGCGTAAATGCATTTCCCAACGTTAAAAAAAAAGGTGGCTACACTTACGAGCAACGAAATGTATACGTTGACAAGTTTTCTAATTCATATCAACATCATACTTTGCAAAAGAAAATTTACGAGCTTTGCTTCAAAATTAGGTAATCATCAAGTTGTTTCGTAATTAGGTATATATGTTTATCCATTCAATGTAAATAAGAGGTACTCGAATATTAGTAGGTATACAATATATACGTCTTATTTATGTTCACGTTATATTTATGTACCCAATCCCATTTGTATATGCATAAAAATGTATACGTTACTAAAAACGCTTAAAATAATGTTTTCGCAATTGAAAAATAGTTTTCAATATATGTATACAATAGTTGCAATATAAACATTAATAAATAGACGAATCGAAATTAGGTTAGTAATAACGACGGAACATAGCATCGGACATATAAACATACATACATTTCAAACACTAACCTAACCTCCTTTTACATTGCAACTATTGTATAATTCATTAATTTATTATTTAATTAATCGTTTATTTATTGTAAATTCTATTAGAATATATGAATGAGGTGAAAAAAACTAAAAGTAAGTTATCGGGTATTGAAAATAATATTTAATTTAAATAGTAAATGGAAAATATATTGTAAATAAAAATATTTTATGATTTTCAAACGAAATTTATATTTGACATCAATGACGCAAATTAAAGCAAGCTGTAATGAAGTTTATTTATGTCAAAATATTTAAATTATGTGCTATTTTATTCTTAAATATTATTTTAAAATACAAAAACAACACTATTAAGTAAAAAAAAAATACCTAAACCTTCTAGCGTTCCTTGACGTCACTAAAGTGGAGGAATTGACTAACAAATTAAATACTTAGGGATGGCAAACGGAACCCTGAGAAAGATATATTTTAAGTTGGATGTGGCTTACAGTCCATTGTAAAAGCTTTTTCGTTCATGTGATATAAATTTAACAAGCAGCTCACCCTCGCTTCGCTCGGGTTCGTCGCTAAGTACGTTTTAAATAGATAATAAATAGTTATTAGCCAGCGTTAGCCAAATAAATTTTATTTTTTTTTCGTTAATTTTTCATTTTTTCTCTTTTTTAAAACCTTCCGTGGACCGTAAGGAATATAGAAAAAAAATTAGCCAAATTGGTCCAGCCATTCTTGAGTTATGCTCTTACCAACATTCATTTTTATTTATATAAGATTTAAATTATATAATTGAATTAATAATTTCTAAAATTTATTTATATTTTTTCTAATTTATGTTTTCTATTTTTATTATTTCTAATTTTAAAAAAATGTGGAAAATAGTTGTGCTCGAAAGCCGTGTTCATAAAAACAATATTATAATTAATCGTACTATAAAATTCAATAAAATAATTGGCTAAATACGGTACTTTAAGCTACAATAGTAGCATAATAGTATTATATTTTATATATTTTAGCATTGATTATTTACTATTTAAATACCCTAGACATATAATACCCTCATTTTAGGATAGTTAGTTAAAAAGTCTGCTAACAGCATGATTTCTGTATAGTCAATTTATCTTCCATAGTCATCATTCTTGTGAAATCTCAAGATTTTAACTACCTAAAAGCTATTTAAACTTTGCTCTACTTGCCTTTACTCATCCTTTTTTACACCATTACTTAAAATCTAAAAAAAAAACAAATAGAAAGCTAAAAAAATATTTCGCTTTATATTTTTATAACGATGGTTTTTTGCCGTCGGTACCATTATGTCGTTTTAGCCAATCCCATTATTTATATTATAATCTAATATCAAAATGTAATGTAATTGTAGATTATGTTCCTAACTAAAATTAATCCCGACATATATTGTGATAATCCTAAGCTTTAACAACATGGCTAATATGACTACTGTAAGGGTGGTGTCCTACTGGTAAAAATTCTTTGTTCAATTCAATTCAAAATATTTTATTAAGTAAGTATATACTTATTGAATTATATTTTTTCCTGCATGTCAGGAGTCTACCACAAGTTAGGAGAGAAAAAACCCCAGTCCAGAGAAGAACAGGCGAAAGAAACTCAGCAGGATGTATAAGTATTATTTTTTTATAACTTTAGAAACATTTAACTCGGCTATGGGCAACAAAAGAAATCTCTATCCCTAGGCTTGTGTGGACTTAATTTTCTCACTCTTTGGTGACATATCATATTATATCCATATAGAAACATGTTTTTAATTTTTTTATACTTCAAAACTCAGTAGTTCACATGAGACAATTACGTACCAAATATCAGCATTACACGATAGGGACAAATGTACATTAGTATATATATTATATGGGTTTCATTTTCGCCTTTGGTTGCAGAACCCTAAAAACCCAACTGTTATCAGAACGCAACGCAATTAATAACATAATTTCATTTAATCAGGGGAAAAATGTCGGAACAGTGGTATGGAATAGATTAAAATAGACATCAAAGACGCTTTAATCTTGGGCGTAATATTGGATACAGGAATTGGGCCGGTGGCATACCGCCCTAAGTTGGTATTTAATTGTATACCTAACTCTGTAGCTAGACTCGTGCTAGGTTTCCTAACGAAAACCTTAGATAGAGCATAGGCGTTTTTAAGATGGTCTAGTTTGCAAAGTTCTCCGAATAAGCTTTTGTACAAATTTTCATCCCTAATCTAATTATGAGGGAGTAAGATTAAAAAAAATCACTCCTTTCATAATAAGTGACCTTTTTTCCAATGTACAAAAATTTTTGAGCAAAATTTTGGGATTTTTGGACCTTTTTCACTAGTTATTTTACAGTCCTGTCTGTATTTGGAACTTTATTTTATCGCTCTTCGTGATAATTTTAGGATAATAATTCAATATTTTTCAGGAAGTGTTAAATTTAAAAAGCAAATATGTAAAGATGGAGCAGGTCGGTAGTCGTCTATAAAGACACCTTCATCAGTGGGAGTGCTTTACGCTATAAAAGCTGTGGAACTACTATGGATTATATAATATAATGTACAATAGTAATATGCAAAGTCATTTCGGATCAAAAAAATATTATATCCACGCAAAAGCTAAATATAATAAATTTACCAGTTTTATAAAGTTCACATTACTGAGGAATTTAGAAAATTCTTTTCCGCTACTACAGATGGTACAATTAATTGGAGTATTTTTTTTTATTTCAGTACTTGGCTTTATACAAAAAAACAAATAAGCGTACTTTCTTTTTTTAGTAAAATAACATCAGATTACTATTATATTTAATTAGTACGTATGTATGTGCGTGTGTATGTATATTTGCTACTCCTAAACTT